TGTTGTATAGGAATCATTACAATTATGATAGTAAACTTTTTAAAATTATGACTCTCTTAAAACACTAGCAAATTAAAACATTTGTCAAACTCATTTCAGAGCCCCTAAGTTTGTTGGCTAGCCCCTAAAGTTGCTGCCTAGACGGCCTATAGGTAAATCCAGCCGTAAATAGAGGCTGGGAATTTTATTGATGCAACATTTTAATTACAAGTTACCTTTATATTTTGTTGTATAAATGTTACATAGAAATTCCTAAAACAGATATATTTTTTATAAAGAGCAAGTCATGTACACCCACCAAATACTTTAAATAAAAATGTTTTTGCAGGTCGGCCCAATCTGGGCCAACAATGTCGGTGCACGATAGGCAAGACATGTGCAAACCTTGCTTATCGTGCACCGCACCTATGGAATAAACTTGTTATACCAAATTTTGATTTGGATTGACTAAATTCTTTTTGTCTTTTTAAAATCAAAATAAAAAATTTAGTTCTTTCCCTCGATAACATTTTACAGTATTACTAATTAATGTATCTATTATTAAAGTTTATTTTTGATTTTTATTATTTTCTCTAAAGTTTTGTTGTTTACAACTATTTATATTGTTTTTACATTTATATATCTTGCTTATATTGTTTAAAGTTTTGCTTATGTAAAAAATTCTAAATATATATTCTACTTTATTGTAACGTATACTTTACATGGTATACGTAAATTAATTTATTTATTATTGTTTTGAAGGTTCCGATCATAAGATCATAGTGATCTTCTTTCGGAAACTTAGTTTACACTGTTATCACGCTTTGTATATATAAATATTTGTAAAGTACTTCTAATAGTTTATTTAATTGTATCGCGAATAACATTGTAAACTGAAAAAAAACAAACGGATAGATCTTATTTAAAAGACGCAGTGTGATTTGCGAGATTCGCAAATTTTATTGTTCTAGGGACTGGACGTGTGTTCATAATGGCAATTTTGTAATAACCTTGATAGAATTTAACTTTATTTTAAAATTTATAAAAAAATTCAAGTTTTACCAAGTGGCGAGAAACTTTGTGTGCTATTCAGCGGTATAAAAAAACTCAAATAATTAAGATAGACTGACGCTTTTTAATATTTTAATGTGAGTTATGTAAAGTAATTTTTGTTCAAATATAACTTTTTTGTTTTTAATGTTACAAAAATGTACAAGTACTATCCCTAGTTATAAAAAAATAATAAAAGTTCAGCAAGCAAAAGTTTGCAAATATTTGATGCTAAATTTTGAATAATTTTGTATATAACACATATGAAATCATAAATATTCATTTTTATTTTGTATTTTTAATTTATTTAACAATCTTTTGAATGCGAGAATATGTAAATACTTTGATAACATTATTTTTGTTGACTTTTTTTGTAAACGTAAAATTTTTCTTATTTTTAAACACAAAATTTATTTATTTTATATTAAAGTTTTGTTTAATCTTATTCAGAAAAAGATTCTCCACAACCCAGCCAATCTCCACAACCCAGCCGGCGCATCTAGTTTCACTTTTAGAATTAAATTAAAACCTGGATAACATGTGTTTGTCACGATCTAGGCGTGTTTAACACGTTTTTTAAGGTTTTAAAGTCTAAGTTGAATGTCACATGCTTTTATCAGTGGTTTCACATTCCTTACAAAAATTTATGTTAATATAGTACTACGTGTCCGTAACGGTGTAACCATTAATATTTTAACTGGTACTTTTGGTAAATAGTAATAGTTAATATCACGGAATGAAAAGCACTCTTGGCACGTGTTATTCTTTTTCCTTTAGAAGGTTTTAAACACGCAACAAAAACCAAGCGAATCTTTTTTCGGAATTGTGCCGGCTGGGAACATGACCAAAAAATATTTCCAAAATGTTAATCCAATAAATAAGTAGGAGCAAAAGATAAAACATTTTCATAACTGTTTAATTCTATCCTCTATTTTATTCTCTTCTTTATTTCATACTCTTGTACTCTATATATTATCATGAGAATAAAGTACTTTTGTCTTATCTGTAAATAAAGTTTCAAGTGATATGAAAAAAAAATTTTTTATGTGAAAAATTTTTATATGCTAAATTTTTTATATATTAAATTTTTTTATATATTAAATACAATTTTATTTATATTTAATAAAAAAATTTTTATATATTAAATAGATCATAGTATAATATTTTTTTCAATATTATACTATGATCAAGTGTGTCGTCTTGCTACGATCGTTATACCTAAAGTACTTGTTTTTTCTCAGGAAGTTTAATCACGTGACTTTCACAGTAATTGTCAAAGCATCAGAATTAGATGTAGAGCAATTGTAGAGTGCAGTGTTTTAAAACTAATTTTTTTTTTTTTATAAAAAAGAATTGCTTTTAAATTAATTTATTATCTGATTTACATTTAAATAAACAAATTTTTTCCAAATATTTTTAAAAAGAAGAGATAAAGCTAGAAGAAAGAGAGATTATCTTTGATAAAGATCTTTATCTTAGTTCTTTATTTTTATTTATGGTCTTTAAACTAAAAACTCTTAAATATTTCTTTGAAAGTACTATACTTATATGTACTTATAGTTGAAGTCACAGGTATAATTTTTTTCAATTAAAAAACAGGTGTTTTGAAACTTTTTATTGAATAAACAAAGTTTATATGCAAATAATATCTCTTAAATCGAGAAATAGCATTTAAACCCCAAATTAGATTTTTCTAAATCGCATAATATTTTTTAAAGTATTTTTTAAATTGCGAAATATATTTTGAAATTAAAAGATATTTTTCAAACCTCGAAATATGTTTTGAATTGCAAATGAAATTGGCCCATTTTGTAATTTGTTAATGTAGCAAACGGAAAACTTCAATTTTAGATTTCTGATATTTAAGTTTTATTTATTTATTTTTTTAACCAACCAACAAGAGAAACCTGCAGCTGAAACCAGGCTTACACAGGGCCCTAGAAAGGTAATGTTATTTGGGAGCTGAGATTCCGTATTTGGCCTACTTAAACGTTTATTAGTTGCCACTTAGCCAAAGCCAAGCAGCGCTAACTTAATGGTTTATCTCCGGAGCAAACGGATTACTTTGAGATTTCCGGACGTAGAAGGAGATAATAAAAAAGTGTGTACGCAAAGAATCTCTATCGACTGTCTTGGTATTGATCTTATGCCTTTTAACAACATCGTAACCAATTGAGAGATAGTCCGGAGCCTAAATAAGAACAGATATTACACTTGATCTAAGCCATTAGGCCATGAAGCGATGATTTAAATTTTATTACAATTGTTAATTATAATTTTTAAATTGGTTATTTAAATGCAACTTTTCATTTAAAAGCAATTTATGACCACTTTCTACTTTCACTTTTGTTGCTTATAATGGATAAATATTTATCCATATCCGATCACTGAAGAATTTGTATTTGATGATACATATATCGAATCTCAACTGAAGATTTCTTTATAAACTGGGTCTTTATTGTAGTTTAAGTAATATCGACATTTAATACTTTTAATTTAGTTTTCTGATTGCTAAATATATCATGGTTACAAAATCTGGCATTTATTTCTAGTGGAAGATGGCGTGTTTTAGACGTCTAAAACACGTGTTAAACGCATTGTTATGTTTTTTAAACGTCTTGCGCCTATTGGATTATTTTATTTTCAACTTTTAATTCTTCTATTATTCTTTTTTTTTTTTTTTTTAACATTAAAACAAATTTAAATAAGTCAAACTGTTGGTGTCACGGTTGAATAAAAAAAATTTTATTTTTCAAGTCACATTTTTTTTTTAATCTTTTTTTTTTCTTCTATTTTTTTGCTAAAACTTTAGTCTTTTTATTTAAATCCATGATTAAACGATTTACTTTTATTTATGTTTACGTATACATTATTATCGCAGTCACCATCAGTCGTGTAATACAAAACTATGCATAATAGTAGAACTGTTAATACCACAGGGTATCCGCAAATAGTAATTCTAAATCAGCTGGTGACTTAAAAAAACAAATCAATACCCACGATCGCCCCCGCATAAATAGTTTATTTTTTGGGAAACGCAAATTACAGAAATTGTATAGTAGCTATTAATAACAAGTTATTTATTACTTGTTTACAAGTTATTTATTTTTGTTTAATGTATTTCCAAAAAAAGTTTTACTTGGGTGGAAGTTTTACATAATCAGATTCCATTTCAAGAGTATTTTAAATGGCTAAAGATCCCGCTTAGTATTAAAACCTAAAGAAGATACTGAAAGGATTTGTTGCTCAGTTCAACAAGATTTTTAATGGTATGTTGTATATATTTATATTTAAAATATTACTTGTAACAATATAATAACAATTTTATAAACATAATTAAAATATATATTAAAATTTAAAATAGAATTTGAGGCATCTTATTTTTTTTTTGAACTTTAATTTGAGATTCCAGTGGGCACCGGGCCAATAATTGAACGTTCAAAAGACGTCCAAAATGTGTATAAGGCGTTTAAAAGACGACTTTTTTACGTCCGTGTCCACTGCCTAGTGGACACGGACGGTGCCCACTCGGTGAGATTCTATATGTTTTGTGTGAATGTCGAGGAGAACTTTTTTTTTGTGTTCAAGTTTCAGTAAAACATAAAAATAATTGCAACGTCATTTGCACTTATGCTCATTTAAGCTGGTTTTAAATTTCCAAAAAAAATCAAGCGATTTATAGACAAGAGTATAAAAGTCGTCAAAAAATGTCGTCAATAACCCCCTCATTCAAAAAAAAAATAACTTTAAAAATAATTTACGACAAAAAGGATCATAATTTTTAGTTAGATTATATTTTTGTAAACTTTATAAATTTTAAGTTCCCCTTACTTTTGAAACGTTTTACGGTTTCAGAAAAAGGATTTAAAAAATCCAATTTTGGATTCGTTTTCAACGGGTTTTTTTTATATATATTTCTTAAAAGAGTATTTTAATAAAACCTGAACAAAAAATAACTTCAAAAGAAGACCTTTAAACAAAAGCAATTTATTTACAACTCTGCTAACGGATAAATTTTTATATTTTTCTTAATAATTTAATATATATATATATATATATATATATATATATATACAGCAAAAACTTAAAGATTTGTTTTATTTGTCCAACTAAGTTCTTCTAATAGGCTAATCTTATAAATAAATTATTATAAATAACTTATAATAAATCAAGGTTTCACGCCTGCAGAAAAGTTTGTAGTTGTTTTTTTAGATTTAAAAATCCCTGTTATTATTTGTTTCATCGTCCTTCTTTCCGAACGAGGGGGTTCTGAAAGTGATTTTGTAAGTCTGATATGAATTTCACTCAAAGTCTTTTTATTTGAAACATCACTAAGACCACTGTCGTGGCGTATTGTGTCACCAAGACCGCTGTCATGGCTACTCATCGAGGTTAAACTATTTGAAAATTCTAAACTGGAACTGTTTAGGCTTGTCGAATGTGTAAAGTACACAGGACGGTTTGTTTTTGGTGAAAAATTATTTTGCGGTAAAGATACTCTTCTGGTATTTGCTGAAAATAGCGTAGCATTGGCTGAAAACTTTCTTCTAGAAGTCTTTGGAGATAATGTTTCTAATATACCTTTAACCGAAATAATAGGGTGGCTTTTTGAACGACTTCTAAATCTTCCGGTTGGTGAAGATTTTGTTTCAAAAACACTACCTTCTATATCACCAATTACCCTATCTTTTTGAGTCGTTTCATTTTTTGAACCGCAACTTTGTTTACGTCTTATTAGTGACTTGGAAGATCGTCGGTTGCTTAATGTCGACGAATATAATGAAGGCTTTTTCTTTAGATTATTGTATTCTTCTACTCGTTTAATGGGAGGCAAAAACATATTTAATATTTTATACAATATTTCTGTTGAACTTTCTCGTTCTTTTGCGCTTGCTTCAATAAATGTACTCACGCAGTTGTCTTCTTGAATCATTTTTGAATAATCTAAACCTTCTTTATAAGTGACAGTACGAGGTAAATCCTTTTTGTTTCCTACAAGTACAACGCGAGTTTCTTTCGCTGTACCTTTTAGAAGTTTTATTTCTCGTATTAAATTTTTTGCCGTTTCAAATGATTTTCGGTTATCCACAGCATATACAACTACAAATGCGTTTCCTTTTGATATGGCTAACTTTCTCATAGCCGGAAAGTCAGCCACACCAGCAGTATCAACTAACAAACACACGCAAAGATGACCTTCAAACTCAACAACGTGCGTAAGGTGATTTGAAACTGTCGGATTATACTTTTCAATAAATTTTTTTTCAACTATTTGGTTTATTAAAGCAGATTTTCCAACGCCATCTTCACCCATGAACGCTATTCTGTACTCAAATACGTACGAACTTTTTCTCGCCGAATAAGACATGAAATATATAAACTTTTCAATTTTTTGTTAAAATTGCACAACTTTAAAGCTTCCAACAAACCTCTTCCTACAAATATAGCAAAATTTTAGATTAAAGTTTCTTATTTACTTTTGTTGGTTTATATAATCTTTTAAACTCAAATAACTCCTACTGATTGTATAATCCCTCTGGCAATACGTATAAAAACCACCAGTTGAAAATATTAAGGATTATTGCGTCCTTTCACAATAGATTCGTATCATAAATTAATTAAACAGTTTTAAACACGTAAAGATATATTTATACTTTTACATTTAAACACCATAGTACTTTAAACTATTTTTAAAAAAAAAACTACGTGCTGTAAAAGTTTTAATAGGACAGATCCGAATTAAAACCGAATTAAAACTGCAGAGCTATTTATGTAGAGTTACGTTGTGACATTGATACGTATTTAGTTTTCAGTCTCCTCCTCTTTTACTTTAAACTTGTGCACATTTAGTATTCAGCCTCCTCCTCTATTTAAATCAAATTAAATTAATATGTTTAAAATGATTAAAAAAAAAAAAAAATTGAAAAACTTTCAAAGCAAAATCACGAACTTAAAAATTAAAATCTTAAATTTACATTATTTTTCTCATCCGCATATTTATTGTTATTATTTTAAAGTTTGCAAGGAAATAACAAAAATAAATCGTAACCAATATTTGCTTACAAAAATCAATTAATATCTATTTTTTAATTTGTAAACATTATAAGAAGGTTATTTACACGTTCATGAAAAAAAAAAATAACATGTCTATTTATGTTTTTTTGATTTCATCTCTAACAAGCATTTATTTTTTAATCAGAAATGTTTGTAGAGGTATTATAAAAATATAACAATTAAATAAAAAGATTCATAAGTTAGTTATTGCTGTTCAGTCCAATCTTTATCTGTTCAGTCCAATGTTTATCTGTTCAGTCCAATGTTTATCTGTTTTTAGAGCGTATGATCAGAGTTACGTTTCCAGATTCAGAATCGTTAACTTAGCTGAGCATATATTGTAATATATATATATATATAAACTCATCAATCTGTTTCTTTAATTATGTTTTGAACATATACAGTATTAAATACACTTGTAAAATAAAAAAACAATTAGTTCCTTTTTAGATTCCCGTTCTGTTTGAGTGTTATTTTTGAAAACACCGTGAATAGACGACATTAATAATAGGACGTGAATAGAGGACATTAATTAGCAGAAAAACTGTGGGCTTCAAACCATACGCCAAATAATTGCACTTGTCTCGAAAATACAAACAGCGTTTATTTTTTTAACTTTGATTAAAAAACACAGTGTGGCCTTTTTCTTGTTTAAAGGCCGTGAGCCCTGTTTATAGAAAAAAAAATGGTAGAAGCAAGAAATAAATTTTATAAAATTAATTTTTAATAACAATTTATTGTATATTTAAACAAAAAAGAATAATGTTTTAGTAAATTTAACGGTGTTTTTATCTAATATATTTGGTACTAACGGCAAAAAACATATAAAATAGATGTTGTAAAATACCGCAGGTTTTAATCAAATAAAGTATTGTTTAATTTTATAAACTGATCAGGAAACTAAACTAATTATGCGTGTATCTGTTAACGCAACTAATTAAATATGCATCAAACATGTCACTTAAAAATACACAATGTCTCTAAAAAAACCACATTGTTAACGTTATAAAATGCAGCGCTTATCGGTTGAAATAATGATATCCAGATAATCTAGTTAAATATAGAAAAAAATTCAATACAGAAGTAAGAATTTTGATTCGAGTGAATCTTGCTAACGGCAATCAACAAGTTAAGTTCAGCCATTTTGAACAGTATTTGCAATTTTGCCTCATAACCTAAAAAAGGCTAGCATCACACCTGCAAAATAACTTACATGATCAAATAACGATAAAATAATAAAACAAGTTATTAATAGAATACTTAAATTAAATATAAATAGAAAATTTATATTTAAAAATAGTATAATTAGATCAAGTATAAATAGAAAATAATAGAAATAATAAAAATAATAGATATATCAGAGAATTATGTAACAACGATATTGTGAAAAGAAAACTTTTTTTTATTTAATCATCAAACACGTTTTGTATCTTTTTTTAAAACGGTTTATTAGGCGTGTTTGTTTATTAGGCGTGGTTGTTTATAACATTTTATGCTATTTTATGTTTTTATACAAAATCTACTTACATACAATCTATATATAATTTTTTTTACATATAAGTTAGTAAATTTTATCAATAACTTTGTTAATGCAGGAGAGAATGAATGAAAACATATGTATTTACTAAATGATACATTCTGTAAAAATATTCGTTTTTAGGATTGTAGCAAATAAGTGTGCACCGCAAATCCTTAACTGTTTTTAATTTAAATTTTCAAGCAAGTTTTTCCTGCTCCTTTTTTTTTTTTTTTTTATAAGGTGACCAGAATATTCTTTTTTGCGTAGGAGAACACAGCAACAAATTAAGTTTAATTTAAATGGCGCTGTGCTTTTCTGCAAAAAAAAAAAGAGTGCCGAGTCTGCCTGCCTGTACGTATGTATGTATATATGTATGTATGTATGTATGTATGTATGTATGTATGTATGTATGTATGTATGTATGTATGTATGTATGTATGTATGTATATATGTATGTGTGTATGTATGTATGTATGCATGCATGTATGGATGGATTGATGTATGGATGGAGGAATGGATGGATGCATGCATACATGCATGCATGCAAGCAAATATATATGTATGTATTTATGTATGTATATTTGTGTAAATGTATGTAGGTAATTAGTTAGATATGTATGCATCCATGCATGCATGTATATATATAATATATATATATATATATATATATATATATATATATATATATATATATATATATATATATATATATATATATATATATATATATATATATATATATATATATATATATATATATATATATATATATATATATATATATGTATTTAGATTCAAATATAAGTTTATTTATATATTAATTTATATTAGTTGCATCTTTTCAACTTTATAATATCATTTCTAGTTACTAGTCTACTATTTTACAAACATTTTTTACAAAAAGTAATAGCCCTAACTAAAATGTGAAAATATGTTATTTGAAATAATGATTTTGTATGGGTTATTATAATGATTTTAAGGTTTTTTTAAAGGACCTTTAAAGCTTTAGCTTTATCCTAATTTGCTGTAAGATAAAATTCATGAAATTCGTAAAATTCTTCATTAAGTGCAAAAATTCTAGAAATTAAATGCCTGTTAATTTGATAGAACTGAGTTTACGTGACGTCAGAATGAATTACAGCGGGAATTCAAAAAGAATTTGATTCGGGCGAACGACTTAGGAACCAAGCAAAGTGATTAAAAAGATCAGTAACAAAAAAAAAGCAGTATTAAAGGTGTACAATTGTTTTTATGTCTTTTTTCTTTATTAAAATATCTTTTATAAATTGTGTTTAAATACCGATTAAGTTATTAAAGCAGTTACCAAAAAAAAAAAAAAAACCAAGCTATGTGTTCAAAGGGCCGGGTGAATAAAAAAAAACAATTTATTCAGCGTTTTTGGAGTAATTGTTCAGCTTTAAGTAAATAAAAATTTTAGCAAAATTGATCACATTTTTATTCACGTAAAGCCGAGTAATTACTTCAATAATGTTGAGTAAAAGCAATTGCTTTTTTTTTATTCACCCGACCAAATCAAGTTAGAGGTTTCTGGAAATTCTTAAGTGAAATTTACTTTTTTGATGATTATTTAGGTTTCAATATACTTGTATCCTAAATAAAACACTGCATAGTATCCTAAATACAACACAACGTCAATATAACACAGTTTAAGTACGAGGGGTTGAGGGAAAAGAAGGAGCAGCTGCAGCTAAAAAGAACAAAAAAAAACTTTTTTTTTTTAAATTAACAAATATATTTTAAATAATAGAACCAGCTGTATACTAGGGTTTTGTAGAGGCTCTCGTCAGTTTATGTCAAAGTCCAGATTTCCTTAAATTCAAAAAAAAGTAGTTAAATTTTAAATTAGGATTTTGGAGTCAGGAATAATCTTATTCGGGAGTGAAACACTCATCCTCTAAAATGAAGATTTTTTTGTTTTGTTGCCAAGTACAGTCACTAGCATTTATGAAGTTCATATTTATAAAAGATCCTTTGATACCTCATATGAAATAATTTTTGCAATGGGTTAACTTTTGGAGAGATGTAAGTTAAAAATGTTAGACCTTATAGAAACATGGTAACAGTGCATTTCGGGTTTCAAATCCTGTGATCAAAAAACTGAGACAATCAAAAAATCCAGTCTTTATCTGAAATGTTTAGAGACCTTTTTACAAAATTACTATATTTAAAAAATTTTTACAAGCAACTATGAAACAGCTTTTAAACAGATTTAAATCTGCTTTTAAAAACTTTTTTGTCACACTATCTGATATTGCTCTGCTGTGTAGGACTTTTAAATTTTTTTCATAATTTCTCTTCACAAAGCAATTTTAGTTTGATTAGAATGATTAAAGTCTTTTGCAAACTCATTTAGTTCAGTTTCTATAACGTGACTAGTGCAAACACTGTCACACACATTAAGTCAATTATGTTATAAATGCTTTTGTTGTTTTAGCTTCAATACAATATATATATATATATATATATATATATATATATATATATATATATATATATATATATATATATATATATATATATATATATATATATATATATATATATATATATATATATATTAACATATATATATATACATATATATATATATATATATGTATATATATATATATATATATATATATATATATATATATATATATATATATATATATACATATATATATATAAATATATATATATTTATATAAATATAAATATATATATATATATATTTATATAAATATATATATATATATATATATATATATATATATATATATATATATATATATATATATATATGTATATATATATATATATATATATATATATATATATATATGCATTAATATTCTTAATTTTGTCATTATTATTAATTTTGTTATTATTTAAGATACAGCAATGATTTATTAGAAATAAAATTTGATGATAGATGTAAAAATATAATTTGAGGATAGTTGTGATACTATATACAAAAAATGAGTTATTTTGATTTGTTAGTCTTTTAATGAAATATTTATATGAAATATTTACAATATTTACTGCCATATTTTTTTGTTATAGATTAAAGTTGACAGTTTACGGGAAAATAATTATGACCAAGTTGTCATAGTTTTTATTTTCAATTTGATTGCATAAACCCTAAATTTCTAAAAAGCTCTATACGGATATTTCTCCGAAGTAAAAAAAGATCTTTTTTAATAAGTAGATGTTTTGCGAGGTTAGAATCATCTTGTTCTATCTCCACTTTGTGAAAAGTTTGAGTTATT